CACATGTATGTAGGCAAACCAAAATAGTATATAATATGTTAAAAAAAAGGGCTATATAGATCTATATCGAAGTAATTGGATGTAGACCCAGGTGCTGGAGGCTACTTCCAAAAACAGGAAAAATCATGATAGACTACACATATTCACTGGATCTAAATCTAGATCTAGATCTACTTTTAGAGTCTAGATCTAGATCTAGACTCTCGTCAGTGCTGTACTGTTGCTTACACTTACAACAGTTCTCGTTCGGCCACTATAGTATAGAATGCAGTTAGTACAAAAGGGGTTCTGCAGAGGGCCGGCCGACCAACAGCACACAAAAGAGGGGATATTTTGAGCGGGGTATACCCTAACCCTAACCCCAACTCTTGTTTGTATAGACCTGGTTTGTTCAGCGGGTACCTTGTCATGGTAGTGCCGGCCCTCTGCGGAACTCCTCCCGTTAGTAATAGTACACACATGTATGTAGGCAACTAAACTCTGACAAAGTCTAGTCAGAGTAGACGGTGTGTGTTTGACAGTAAAGTAGTTGTGAAGTTGTAGTAGATCTAGGAAGGTCTCCAATACTGCCAGTAGTCACTAGATCTCTGTCTATGAGTAGATCCAGAATCTACATCTCTACCACTCCCGCAGATCCCCACTGCGACTACAAATACTACGATGCAGTCTTCCTCCGAGTAGTTTAGAATCCCGCTGACCCGATCTGCTTGGATCCAGCCCAGGCACCCTCAATATTGGGTATTTAATACGAAAGCGGAGAATTTAAAAGCAAACCTTGAACAATATGTACTCAACGAGCTAAAAACGGAATGGTTCCAAAAGTGAAAGTAGACATGCCACTCACTGACCTTACCTGGTCCCAATAACACAGCGGAAGGCGAGCAATTTTGCGAAGTAACTTCACTACGAAATTACGAAATAGCTCCATGGCCTCATTTCGGTGCACCGTTCTCAACTTAAATTAATAGAAGAAAATCGTTAGATAAACATATCGAAATGAATAAATAAAAACATAATAAAGATTATCAGTATTTATGAGCAAGTACAACCTTTTATATGTTCCAGTTCCCAGCTAACCACCAGATATTGACTTCGTACTTCGTAGTTTTCAGTGTAGGCCATCGTACTTTCAGTTTTCGTGACCTACTTCTAGATTTAGTACGGGGACAACATATTTATTGGGAAGAGAGAAAGTAATCATTTTGAAATAGTAATGGATTTTTAGCTGTGAAGACACGGTAAAATCTTAATAATTTACCCTTTCGTACTGTTCTTAGCATTTGTTTTATAACCAGTTTTATTATTATCTCTCTCCCACCCACATGCAAACAGGTATTTGGCAGACCAGCAGCGAATATTTTGTTTTGTGTAATGAAATCTGGGGAAGACCAATATGCCATTTTGACTCTTACTCCAATTTGCCTTTTCTCTGTTTCTTTTGAGAACATTCGTCATTTCTTCAACACGTCAAAGGTACATTTGTAATCAAAATAAGTGTAGGCTATGCAACAAAGTATCAGTAGAACAGGAATTTGATCACACAATTCAGCGTGATGGAATTGTCGATGGGAAAAAAAATAAACTTAGTTTGACCGGCTGTGGAAACCTGACATATGAGGTCAAGGTGGGGCATACAGTCCAGCAGAAGGAACTGTGTGCTTCATTGTAGGCCCTATTGTGACGCCTAGAATCTAAAACTTTCTAACTTTTTGGAAGTTTGTAATCATCATCTCTCTTTCGTTCATTCGTGCTCTTGTGTTGGACAGAGTCTTCCCTCGACATTTATTTCGTGATTGATGTGTTGGGTAAGTTCTAGATATCAATTCATTTCATATTAGATTTACCTGGGGATCAAGTGAAGTTGTAAGGAGTATCATCGATGGTAAAAAAAAAAAGTTAGTCTGATAGATCTATGAGTACAGTAGGCTAGAGTCTATAGTCTATAGTCTGTTGATTACTGTTTCTGTACCCTACGACTAGAGAATTAGATTCTTGATTAGTTCTAAGTCTAGATCTAGAGATGTAGTTTCATGAATAAATGTAGATCTAGTGTCTGTCATCATTCTATACTTAAAATGTTACTCTGTCTAGATTCTAGATCTGGATTCTAGATCTAGATTTAGATCTAGATTCTAGATCTAGATCTAGATCTAGAATCTAGTCTAGATTAGATAAGATTTCTAGAGAAAAAGAAACTCCATACTAGAATCTAGATTTCTAGATCTATAGATCTAGATATCTAGATCTAGATAATCAAGATCTAGATCTAGATATTTTAGATCTTTTATACTTTTACTTATTAAGGACTTCCGTAACGAGCGACCACCCCATCAAACACAATAAAGAAGAGACCTACCCAAACCCAACCCCTAGATCTAGATCTACCCCTACCCCTAGCCCTCAATTCTGCTCAGTCTCATAGTGGTCGCTCGTCAGGGGAGTCCTCCCCTATTAATAGATATAGATCTAGATCTAGATCTAATCTAATCTAGATCTAGATTTAGAATCTAGATCTAGTCTAGATTCTCTATAGAATCTATAAAAATATAAATTGTCTTTCGAATACATAGAGTCATAGATCTACTACTGTACTCTATGATTCCAGTAGCCTACTTTCTACCAACAATAATAGGCTATATGTAATATTATATTCTTATTGTGTTGTGAAGTTTCATCATCATAGGGAGGAAGGATGTTAAATATAATATCATTGTTGTGGCCATATGAGCAAAAATTCAAAAAGTAAACATTTTAAATATTAATGGACAACGTTTTCACACAGTCCTACAGAGCAGACAGTGGGGTAGGAAAGGAAAGCTGAAGATATATTTTGGTTTTATTAAAACATTGTCTAATCTAGTTCCATTGTCCAAATATAGGCTATAGATCTATGAGGCTACACATAATGTATTACCCTAGCATTTTTTCTTTGGTAAGTATTTTACAGTGCTCGCTACTTTATGAAGGTCATGTGAGCCGAGCGTGTGAGACACATTTCATTAAAAACAATATAATGTATATTATATATATATGTATATATATATATATATATATATATATATATATTTTATGTATATATATATATATATATATATATATATTTTATATATATATATTTTATATTTTTATATATATATATATATATATATATATATATATATATTATATATATAATATATATTTGGTGGGAATTATTTTTTCATTAAAATCTTATCAATTTTATGACCACCAATGGATCGTGTGCAACTTGATGGGACCTTTGACAGTTTTTATCCCTTTTGCTTGTATATATATATATGATTTATTAACCCTAAGATCAGGGGTGTGGCTGAAAGACAGTAGCGGTATGAGTAGCAGTAGAAAGGCAGTGGAAAAAGACGAGAGCGCAGAGGATGGGCCAAAGAGGAGGGGGCTGAAATTCCTAACAAAAGATTATGGAGCTGGAAAGGAGGTGAAAGAGAAACTTTTTTAAAGAAAAAGTAAATTTTTGTCACTGCAACTGTTAGGATTCGAACCCGGGATCTATTGAATGAGAGGCGAACACTGTACGAAACCATTTGAGCCTCCTAGAAAATGCACGCATCGCATACATCATGCACTCCAATCTGATCCAAGTTCAAAGCAGATGAAATATTTCATTGTATTGTGTAATTGAGCCTCATAAATAAACTTCCTATAGTGGTTTACAGGGGGAATCAAGTAGCAGAGAGGTAAAGATTGATTAATGCTTTTTTTGTCATTGTCCCTTGTGCTGTTTCAACATATTCTAGATCTATAGGAGGCACAAGTTTTTTTGTGGGGGTTTTTTTTTGGTCTTTTGTATTGCATTATTTTTAAAAATTCTTTAGCGATTTAATCTTATATTGAGTTGGCAGATTGACTTTATTGTGTTGCAAGTGCCAAAAATACTCTTCCTAAAAATAATAATAATAAAAAATATATATATCAAGTGACAGTGATCCAAGAAATGAAAAGAAAGGACTTTTGCATGTTGTGTGAGAATTATCTGAGAAATTACTCTTTTTAAACATCTAAATTTACTTACAAAAGACTTTTTGAGTTGTATTTGCTAGGCTCTTTGCGAGCTGAACATATTTTTCATACGCATATATTACACATATATTTATGTCTTATATTGTCTTATGCAGCGATGACTTCCATCCTGTCAGTCTTGTGGTTTGGTTGTAAATGATTCGAACCAGCCGTTGTTTTCAATGACAGTCTTCAGTTATGAGCATACTTTCCCCTTAAAAGAATTTTGTCTTTCTTTCTCTCTGTCCAATGTTGGTGGGCTTTCTGGTGTGGTGTGTTCCATCTTCTTTTCTTTTCCTTTTAATTGTTTTGGTCTGTTTGTCTTAAACTTTTACCCTACCATAAGTGTTGTTTTGATGTGCTTCTCTTTACTCAAACTCAAACTTCGTTGCGAAATGTGCTATTTGTCTTTGTCTCTCTCTCTCTCCTCCTCTCTCCCTCTCTCTCTCCCTTTCCCTCTCTCCCCCCCTCTCTCTCTCTTTCTCTCTCTCTCTCTCTCTCTCTCTCTCTCTCTCTCTCTCTCTCTTTCTCTTTCCCCCTCCCTCTGACATACCTGCAAACACACGTCAGCATACACCCACACTCACAGGCGAGCACTCAGACATTTAAAAAGAATCTCAACTCAACCGCCTTTTCCAAAATCTTTCGCCCTTGCTTGGTGTGAATGATTGTACAGTATGTATTTTGGTTGTCGTTTGTTGCTGTCGCTGCTGGTTCAGCCGGCGGGTCAGAGTGGCCTGGCTGGAGGGCTCGACTCGTCAGCCGACTTGAGGCCTACTGTGATTCAATCCTTGCCCAAGCTAGTGATCAGATCACACGCTAGAGTGCGCGCCCCGCGTCGACACTCGCTACTGTCGCCCGATACGGGCTCGTGGAACCACTGGGGGTGATCGTTGTCTCGTAGTACGGTCCATTGCAGCGCTGCAGACACTATTGCGAACCTCACTTTGTCGATAGCTCCAGTACATGTTGGCGGAAATGGTGATCAACAACGGATTTCATTTCTGGAAACTAGTCATAGTCTTTTCTGACCTCGCCCTGGGAGTCGCTTGAAAACAGGTGTGTATTAGTAGTAGCATTAGAATTGTCTCATCTTACCGTGATGAATCCAACTAGCACTAGCAGGTGAAAGGTTCACCGACGAAATAAGATGTTAATGTTTTCGTAAAAAAAAAAAAAAGAAAAACAAAACGACGCAGACGCATTTCTACTAACAGACTGGAATCAAATAATACTGACCAGCTTCTACGAGACCTTGATTTCTCTCCCAACTTCTCTCTCTCTCTCTCTCTCTCTCTCTCTCTCTCTCTCTCTCTCTCTCTCTCTCTCTCTCTTTCTCTCTCTCCAAGTGCTTTTGCGTTTTCTTTCACAACCCTACCACCAGGTAGTAATCATCTGCGACCTTGAGGAACTGACCTTTAACGAAATTAACGCCTGAAAACAACGACACTATATTATATTGTAATGCTATGCGGGTTACATACTACGTAATGCGATGTTGAGGCAGTGGTTATATTTTTAAGCTTTTTTTCTTATAATAATGAAATATTTGGGACGAAATTGAAATCCATGTTTATGATGGATGTCAAGAGAACAATATAACAATAACAGTAAGTCAATAGGTTTACAATGCCACCTGACAGAGTGTTCATGCCCCTTGTTTGTATGCCGTTGACTGAACGAGCAAGACATTGTCTTTCTCCTCCTTTCTTGTATTAAAGTGACTTGGCCTTTGGAGTAATCCTTGCGTTCCGCCACCACGTATTCCCGACATGGGAACTGCCGACATGTACCTGGGTCAGGCCCCTACTTTTATTTTTTTTAAAGAATCGCTGGGAGATCCTGTTTTTGATTGTGTTCTATTTGGATCTATGAATGTCATGTAAACCCGAAACTCAGTAGCTGTTAATGAATTTGGACACGCCCCCTCCCCCCTTGAAAATATCCCTCTTTAATTCACGGTTAGTTGCGAGCGCCGAAAAACCCTCTATTAAAAAATTCACGGTAGCTCGTAGCTTTTGTTAGTTGATGGGTGCTTTGTTGTGGTAAACCTTCTTTTCAGTTAGTTAGCAAATGTCGTTTTCCTGTTCCAAGCCAAGTTTTTGCACTGGCCCTCATAAATCACAACATACTGTTAAACAACTCGTATCCTGTTTAAAGAGGTGTGTATGTATGTGCGTTTGTTTGTCTATCTGTGTGTGTGTGTTTGTGTCTGTCTGTCTGTCTATCTGTCTCTCTATCTCTCTTTCTCTCCCTATCTCTTTGTATGTGTGTGTGTGTGTGTGTGTGTGTGTGTGTGTGTGTGTGTGTGTGTGTGTTGTCTTTGTAAGTGAGGATCCCTCCGCTTTTGTCAAGACAAACAAAAGCAAGGCACTCTCCTTGACGCACGGTGAAATATTATGGGTGTTAAAGTTCTGACCAGCCGTAAACTCAACCAACCGACTGCACAGCCATCTAGAGGTGCATTGCAGCTGGACACGTGGAGATGTCGCCACCGGCTCGAGAGCATACTTGTGACCCCCCACTAGGCCACTGCTAATGAATCGTGGACATTTCGAAGCACGCGACTATTTTGCCACACACAGCAATTACCTGCAATCAGGCGCAGCTTAACGCTAGGGCTTTATGTAACCGCAATCTACTCCTTTCTAGATCGTCGCCCCGGGGGCCCTCCTTGTGTTCACTTATTATAATATCTCTATTGCTGTCGTCTTTGGAATTCCAAACTCGGGAATTTCACAGCCCGCTGGTGTGGGTCTGTATTATAACCGCATGTCCGTTTTTGGGACTTTGTTTCTTCCTCGTGCAGCCGAGTCGATAAGCCTGCGAGGAGAGGTGCAGGTAGGCCCGAGGGACAACCTGTCCGTGTCGTTCAAGCTCACATGATTTATGATCCTGATGCTCGGTCTGTTACGGTTGTTTGAAGGTAACCTGTATGTTGGTAAAGGGGCGTGGTGGCACTCTCAAACTTCTTACCCCTGGAGTTGTGTGCGTTGAACAGAACATTGAACCTTTGAAGAAGTTACATGTACCACGAACTTGAAGTGTGGGTTCGTAAATTGTCACTGTTGCGGTTGTAATATTTAAAATGAACCATTAGGTTTTTTTTGTTTTTGTTTTTGTAGAAAAGAGTATTTAAATTATAGGCTATAAATCTATACACATTTTGAAGAACATGTTTGGGATAATCAGTGCAGATTGGCAGACAAAAATGAGAGTGCTATCAGCCTAAATAAGAAGTGCCTTAAAGACAAAAATGAACTTTCTTTATTTTTCAAGGAAGCGATTTCAAATCAAAGCAGGTCAAGTGCGAGAATAATCCTTGTCAGCTACATTTAGGGCTCCAGTCCACAGCGAATCTGGGACGTGTTAGACCCGGTTAGACATTATGCAAATGTAGGTCACAAGTCATGATTCAGATAAATGTACACATATTCTGGGTTTCTTTTCCGGCTGTCTCTAATAGAGTCCGACTGTATTTGAAATATTGTCTCGTTTCTTGAAGTGAATGTCTTATGTTCCGAGGCGTGCTATCATATGTTCTCCTTTTTCAACGTTTCGCTCTTTTTGTTGTCCTTACCTGTTCTTTTCTAAATGTACTCGTCATTAACCAGTAGCAATATGAACTCAGCTTTAGATACTTACTAGTGTTTTGATTCATAATGGTAAGTCCTGCCTTTTCCCTCCCCAGTCAGTATGTATTGTTTTCTCTGGCTTTCATTTAATGACCGTTATTGTTTCGACCTGTTTCTTTTTTAAACTCAGATTAGATTGCATTAATTTAAAACAAGGACCAGCCCACCTCTCAACCCCCCCCTAAATCAGTGCATCATCCTCTTTGTTTTAGCAACATTGTAGTCTGATTTTTTTTCCTCCAGTCGCGTTCCAGTGTTAAAGAAAAGAAAACAATACAAAGTACTGTGTGTTTCGCTCAAAGGTTTGCAATCCCACCCGTCCAGTGTGCTTGTTCTCTTTTTTTTGTTTGTTTGTTTGTTTGTTTGTTTTCTTTTCCAGCTTTTAATTACCGCTATCATTTTAATGGAATCTTTTTTTTTACTGTAGCGAACAGTCGAACAAACTATCCTTGCACTAAATGAGTATTTTTTATCTATTAAATGTGTATATGTTTCTTCTGTCTGTCTGTCTGTCTGTCTGTCTGTCTGTCTGTCTGTCTGTCTGTCTGTCTGTCTGTCTGTCTGTCTGTCTGTCTGTCTGTCTG